CACACACACACAAAAAAAAATAATACACTATCTCTCTCTCTCGCTCTCTCTTCAACCTCTATTCATGTACAAAAGATGTGGTACTATCCCTGAAAATAAACAACAAGCCATTTTCTTTCATTTGTTATTTTGTTCCTCATCCCACAGTTTTATCCTTGAAGCCAAGCCTGTTAAAGCTGATACACTGCTTAAGCCGTTGCATCACTTTTTATTAAGATTTACTCAACCATGACTTCAGGCTCCATATATCTGCTCGCCTTTCAAATCCTCACCAGTTTATTTTTTCTTCTATTTTCTGAATCTGAATTACAGAAATATACCTAACCCCTTTAGAAACAGAGGGACAGCTTTCTGAAAAAACTTGTCTACAAGCAAATGTCCTTTAACAGTGGTTCAACATGTTTTCCTTGGAGCCCCCTATACTAAATCTATAACTGTGTGTGTGTGTGTGTGTGTGTGTGTGTGTGTGTGTGTGTGTGTGTGTGTGTCAGTGTGCATAGGTGTATATATATAATTGTGTACAAATTAATGTCTAATATATAAATTTAGCAAATAACATGTCATTGTTTCTATAGAAAAATGCATGAGCAACTTTAAACAGAGGTTGACTTTTCTCTGTCTCACTTGTATTTTAATACAGCCTATAAATTAAATATCTGTTTTTATAAGTCTTTATGTATTTGTCTTGAGTAACACAGAGTTTATTTGAAAGCACTAAGCTCTTTATTAAAAAGTATCTGCTGAGTTTCAAGCAGCACATCTGCAAGAATATCCATCTAAAAACCTTATAAGAGCGGTAGTAACCTTTTGGAACCTACAATAGAACTATATATCGAGACCTTTAAAATGGGGGTGATATATTTTATACGAAGTAAAGTAGACTTGTGGCCGTGAAAGGTGAAGGAGGGCAGTGTAATAGGGTATTAAACCGGTGAGGACGGCTGGTCAGCTCTGATAACAACACACTCCTACAGCAGATGTATCTGTCTCCTCGCTCTGCCTCGTCCTTTCACAGACGCAGATGAATCTCGAGGTCCTGTCCATGACACACAAGCACTGACAGGCAGTGGCTCTGTGGTGTGTGCGCCTGGGGCCAGGCAGGGGCGAGAGGTGACGGATAATAAAGGCCAGAAGATATGACATTGTCCTCCACAGAAAAACCGGTAGAGGAACGGATACAGATGGAGGACTGTGTGTTTTCACTGTATGAATTAGCTTTGTTAAGGTCATTACATTGAGCCTGCTGCTACAATATGTGCCCAATGACCAGGCTCTGACCCCAAGATAATGCTCAAAGCAATTCTTCATGTAAGGCTTAACCTTTCGGAGACACGAGGTCCCATCAAGCTTTAGAGTACATTCAAGTCTAAGGACATTTATTAAAGTATCTATTGTGCTCATATCTAATAAAACAACCAATCAATTCACCTTGTAGCTTGTTGAAAAATGATGTACAAATACACAAGCCTGCAGCAGAGCCTCTTTGTGGAAGTTACCTTCACCGTATGTGTGCCACTGGACAGCATAGGAAACATTTTGAGATAGGGAGAGGGGGGGATTTGGAGATTAGCATGCAGCACATAGTGATAAAGAAGCAGTGGCATATTTCACCACTATATTTCAGAACTGTCAGAACACTTCTGTATGACTCAGCTAGAAACTAAAGCCTCAATTTCAGCACATCTAAGAGACATTTTTTTGTCTGCTGAGGTAGATAAGAGAGCGAGAGTTGTGGCAGAAACAAACACCTCGCACACACAGAGTTGAGATGGGGTTCTTTTAGTAGCTCCTACGACAGTCACTGAACCCTAATGAGTGGTTGCAAGCAAAATATTTTATACATCAAAGTCTTTTAGAGGTCTTGGGAAGTAAAAGCGTGTGAAAATACTTGTATAAAGCCTTTTGTGATGTCAGAAGGAGCTTCATACAATCTGATAATATTCACTGCAGTCAGTGTCATTTGGGGCTAAAGGCTAAAGTTAGCAAATGGATTTGGGGTGATTTATTTACAAAAGAAAAACGAGCTTACCAGACCTCTGGAACTCATCTCTGCTTTATCAACTTGTGGCTAGAAGGTTTTTAGTATGAGACATCTGAATTCAAGACAATACTGTTAGCCTTCAAGCTACATTGTGGGTAACCAAGGCACTCGTTTTTTTCTTTTTCTTTTTCAGGTCATGGTGTCAAAGAATTCAGAGAAATGTAAGTGTTTCACTTTTCTTCTTAGCCACTCAAGAAAACTATACAACCTTAAAATGGAGTTTTGTTAACCTTGTAATTGTTTGAATTCAGGTCCTTGAAAAGATTCTTAGTTTTTGTGACGGCTGTATGTTTCCCTATGCTGTTTGTTCCTTCTCCACTTCCTGTTGTCTTCAGCTCTGCCCAGGTGAAGCTGTTAATGACTCAACCTGGCTCAGTGCTTAAAAGGCCAGCACTGGCTTCAGGAAGGAGCGGCCTCTGTGAGTTGGGACTGCTGTGCAGGGACTGTGTGTTGCTGTGTTAGTTTCGTTAGCTTTAAGGTGACCTTTGTTTAATCATTTCGTTTGCCTGTTAATTAATCCACTGGTTTGACTTTGTTAAGGTGTTTTAGGTATTTTCCAGGGTCAATGTGTGGTTTGTTGTTATCCCCATAGAGCCGCCTTATGGTGGGGCGTAACAGTTGCTCTTTTTAACAGCCAATCACTCAGCAGATGATCACTATGCCTACTTTATACACCAGTGTAATAAAAGGGCAGGTTAATAAGTGATTTATGTGAGTGGAAACCACCTAATATCCACCTATAAATGTGTTGATTCTTTTATGCAAGTAATCTGCCATCTTTTCCCAGTTATTTAAAAAGAGTTAAGACACATACTTAAATAGCCCACTCTGTTGTATTCATGTTTGTAGCAAGTATAAGAAACAGATTAGTTTTGGTTTCTCCTGAACTGTTCATGTCAAAAAACAGAAAAGGCTCCTTTAAATCTCCATTGTATTTCAGCTAAAGATCCACGTTTAACCTGTCGTTGATAAGAATTGGTGGACTACAATGCTTTACAAGGTGGACAAGGAAAGTGAGATATATTATAATCATCTTTCTTTAAAGCTTTAAGAGGTTTTCAATGGATTTTTCATTTCGGGCCAGACTGATACTTTGGAAAGGATAGTACAACCTGATACATCTGCCTTTCAGAAAATGGGGGTACACTTGACATGCACACCCATATTTTTTTACAAGGTCGTCATCCTGCAAGCTGAACTTGTTCATTAAAACAGCAAGATTATCAATTGCAACCAGGCATCTCACACCTAATTCAAAATAAAGACGAGAGTGATAAAATGGGACATTCTTATTAAGATCTCACCACATTTTATCGTCCTTTTTTTTTTTGTAAGACTCTTTTCTCTTTCATGGGAGCGGCGGTCTGTAATTTCTCCAGGGAGCCACAAGCTTCTGCTATCTCAGCTGTGTTTACTAATCTTCCCTCGACACCAGTTTCTCAGCCTCGCAAAGTTAATACTGGTCCAATGTAAATAGCCTTATCTCGTAAACTCTTGTTATCCCCCCACCTTGGCTGCCTAATGTGAGACATGTTTAGAAGTCAATGGAGGGGGATTAATTCAGAGAGTAAGAAGGGAAAAAAAAGACAAGAAAGAAAACATTTCCTGTGTCAGTGAAAATGCCATGGTGCGACTAACGAAGGCTCAGTGTTGTCAATATGTAAGGCCACCAATCACATGAAGAACATGAGCATTACACTGCTTTTACTGCAGAGCTGAAGGATGAGCAGATCATAAATTAGACTAAATTTGTCTCCTGGTTCTCAGAGCTAATCGATTGAGCCGTCTCATCATGCGCAGGTTACAGTACCTGCCTCACTCCACCTGTGCTACTCTGCTCCACTGGAGGCCCCCAATCGCTTTAAATGCCATGGCAGGAAGTTTTAATTAAACCCAGAGGGAAAAATATTAATTATCACATCGCCTGCCGAGAATTGGCAGTTGGCTGCAGGCGGATTCTCCCCAGAATGCCGATGACGTGAAGGTGAACGGGGTGCAGGTTGAAAGTTTAGGATGAAATTTGGGATTTATTTCACTTTTATATTGAAAGACGCCTGGGGACAGGAAGGAGATTTGTTCCCATGAATCAAAATCACAACTATGCAGCTTTTAAAAAATAACAGCATTTATCCCTGCAGGACAGTTTAGAACATTTTACAGGAATACAAGAGAGGATACCTTTTGTAACAGGATGAAGTACTTTCTGAAGCTGCCAAGTATTTCCCCTACATCGTCATCTTTAAATATGTTCCTTTTAATGAATCTTTTTTATAGACTGTCAAATAAAATCTGATCTTTATTCCAAGCTTGTAACGTTTTCTTAGTTATTTGTCCCTCTCATGATCACGATAATATGTTTTCATGGAATGGTCTTGTCCATATTACCTTATCTGATTGATTGGTTGGTCTGCTCCTTAATCATACTCTAAGTTTCCAGTGTAGCAGTACGCCAGCAGAGAGCCCACTGCTGCCACTGGTGTTTCTGCTGAGAAGCTGAAACAGCACTCTTCTCTTTGTCAGATCCCTGTAGGTATTTGTTAATGCAGAGACGGAGGAGCGCCTTATAAACTATGCATGCCATCTCCCTCTGGCAACCAGCAGTAGAGAGGATGATGGCAGGAAAATGCTGGTTTCCATTAGTCCTGTGAGGCTGGTTAACATAAAATTATCCTTGGGGTAAGCGGGAAGCAGGCAAATCTGGGGTCTTCATTAAAGCTGATGCATAATGGAGGCTGGACATATAAAGGCTGGTTCACACAGTCGCACTTTTATGATACGCCTGCCTCACTGCTTCGTACAGAAAACTATTTAATACATTTAAAAGAAACAGTAGCAGACAACAACTGTAGGGATGCCACAAAAGAACGGCTACTGAGTCTGTGCAGCATGGACTTTCTGTGTTTCAGTGTAAGATTTTATGCAGATCCACATTAGAGCAGTAGGAGGAAGGAGCACTTACCCCGCAGGAGGTCAGAGCTGGTGTAAGGTGAGCTGTACGTCCGAAACAGCAGCCAGTCAAAGTCATCCTCCTCCCCCTGGGCGAAGTCACACAGGTTGGGATCTGAATCCTCTTCAAACGTGCAGCCTGCTGCTGAAAAAAAGAGGGAATAAATTATAAAACAGTTGCAGCAAACATGGTAAGAAAGTTTGGTTTTAAGAGCAAATATTTACAACCTTAAAATGTCTCTGATATTCACTGAATGTAAACTTGAACTACTGCCAAACCCAGCAGCCAGCCACAATGAAAAGTGCTCTGCAGCCACGCTGACCTCCTCCCTGTACTCCCTTAGAGCAGAGCAACGACCTGACTTTACTTTTTAAAAAGAACAATTCACCCTGACAAGCTAATGTGGCTTTGCAATGCGGCTACAACCGATGTTTCCCATGAGTCATACATTTGATCTGATGCCACTCAGCTCTGGCTGCACAGAAAAAAAGATGAATAAAGCAACCCTTGAACAGTCACACTGGTAATGTGTGGACCTCCCACACACATATTCCACTCTTTGCAATTGTGCCCATGCATAAACATGAATATAAAAGCAAGAGGTCATTTTGTTTTCAGGTGAGAATCATACAAAACATAGTGCAATACATCGACAACAGATTGTGTGTAGTAGAAGCTAACTCAGAATAAAAATCTCAACAATATGTGAACACATGATTATGGTAAACAAAATGCTTCTAACTGCATCATAAAATACAAGGCATTAACTGTGACTATGAGCACCATCGTGAATTGAATTGTCAAAGTCCAAAAGCTTGGATGTGCGGTCCATATTTGATGTCACACAAATGAAATGTGTTCAAATATTCACATTTTCTCTCAAACAAGTCAAGCAATGAGCTATAATTACTTCAGACCCACAATAACCCTGGGTAAAACAGTGCTTGCCCGGCACCTAAGGAGGATTACCCAATCCCATAAAACATTCACAAACAAGACATACCCCAAAACCAATCCACAAAAGCATACAAACAGTGATAACATTTTGGAGAAGCTGATTCCCTGGGGAATGTAGTAATTATTGTAATACCTCACAACCTGCTATTCCATGCGCCCAAAAGCCAATTTTTCAAATTATATTTAATAGCTATGGCTTTAATGGCTCTTGGTTCCTGAATAATGTGCTGCAGTCGCTGCTCTCTGCATCTGTTGCCATATTTTACATTAGTCCATGGGTGAGAGAATTACAGTGAAACAGTGGGCAGTTTGAACAGCCCCGTCATAAGACCAGAGCCTGTGTCAGTAATCATTGGAGTAGGACAGCATGAGATGTGACATGCTAATGATAGGAATAACCACAAGCCACTCCTGAAGGTGACCCCTGTGGTCTACAGCTTGATCACCACTCATTCTTTTCTCTAATCTGCCATTAAACAAATTGTCTCAATATGACGGCCTGCAGACAAAAAAACAGCCGGTCTCACTGCGGAGAGGATTTATAATTCTCTCTTTTACTACTGATGCAGAAGATAGCCACAGCTTTCAGTAACTAACAGGGTACTGCCATTGTTGGACTTGATTTTTTTTTCTTTTTTAGTTTAGAGGCTAAACAAAGGCATATGGGCAGTGTGAATAATAGATTTTCACTGCATGCAAACATCTTTGTGTAAATCAGTGTACTTCTAGTGATGAAAGATACAACAGAAACGTCAAAGTATTTGGTCTTTTTCGATTCTCTGTTTTTTGAAATTTTCAAAATCCAAAACAGAAACACCAACCAGAATTAACAATCTTAGACACAAAAATAAATGAAAGAGAATAGATATAGGTTTTGACAGTAAAATGATTTAATGCAAAGTCTCAGGAATACAACTTTTTTTTTTTTTAGCTAGGAACAACATTTTTGAAAATGTGACAAATAATGCTATTGTTTCTAATCTGTGTTTAAATTTTGCACTAATGTAATGTAATGAATAAAATTAAGATTAAATAGGATAGATATTCCTGCCAACAGGTACAAATAAAGTCACCTGAACCTGAACATGTAAAAGACCAATCATTCAATTCTAATTCCAACCTCTGTTATTTGAGGGTTATGTACTCAATGTTACAAACACATTTTAGTTGAAACTCAAGCTGGTTTATGCCATTTTCCAGTTGGCCTCCATATAGATTTCTTTAACTGCACAATGTTCAACTTTGCTTACCACCTTGAGCTCCCAATTTGGTTCCAAGGAGTCAAAAAGGTCAAAAAGTGATCATATCCTTCCCTCAAACCAAGCTGAGACTTGTAGAGGATTGGCTCCTGCTGTGCTTTTTGACAACCACCAACATGTCATCTCGGTAAATAAAACCTTTACCCTTGCCTGCTGTTACAGAAATGTATTTGCACCTCGGCAGGAGGCAGCATGAGATACTAAGGAAGATGAGCATGTGGTTGATCTTTGGTTTAAAAGTTGGTCCAACGGGGATGAACTTTCTCCACACCGTTTGTTCACTGCAGTACTCGGGGTATCTTTGCCCACAGCCAACCTATTACCTCGATCCTGCACCTCTAGTGATTATACGATAACACAGTGAATATCTACCAACCTGTAAGCTGGCTCTGCTGGGTGATAGCCACAGCAGAGGAGGGAGTGTGTGTTTCTCCCTCTGGGTTTGATTTATTGCCCCGTGCTGGGCTCTTACTGCACAGATCTGCTGCTGAGGCCAGGGGTTAATTGTCCCGCACTGGGGTCTATTTCTAATAGAACAGCCAGAGATATGGGACCTGACACATCCAAACACTGCCACTATATTATTCCCCGCTGCTTCGCTAAATGAAGCCTGCAGACTCCTCCCCACTCAAGTCTCACTGTGCAGAAGAAGCAAACCAGCACTGCTCGGGGAATGTCATCTCCTTACAGCACAGTGGGAGAGATCAAGCTCATCCATCATGACCAAACACTCCGCCTCTCACCTCCTCCAGCATGGACCAATAGGTGTGAGGGGGAGTCAGCAGCCATTTCTTTTAACCTGAATAATTACACCATTTAGTGCAATGACCAAAGCAAAGTCAGATACTGCCAAGATTTAGTAGCGGAGGTCAAGAAATGTTCCGTTTTTGTTGTTGTTAGCCATCCAATGTGAGGGGTTGTTGGCTCTATGCAATAAAGTTGTCATTAAATCTTTTTTTATATATATATATATTTGCAATTTACAACAGGCAAATTATACATGCAGACATAAACAATGTGATGGGAAGACAAAAGCCTCACAAGTAGGAAGGAATAAAAAAAATAATCTTCAAAAAAAGACAAAAAAGAAAAAAAGAAATCAGGGAGAGAGAGAGTAGGGAATGACATGCAGGAAAGGAGCCACAGTTGGGATTCGAACCTGGGCCGGCCCGCTTGGAGGAGCAAAGCTTCCATAGATGGGGCGCGCGCACTACCCACTGCAACACCAGTGCCCCAAAAAGAAAACTGAATGAATCTCTTCAGTTTTTCAAATAAATAGATTCAGAGTTTTACAAAACAAAACAAAAAAACCTAAGCTTTATGAAATCTTGTAATATTTTACAGGAACATTTTTGTGTTGTTCTACTTTGTTACTTCTTTTTCCAAAAGAAAAAAAAAAGTCTTTGCCAGGTATGTTTGAGAGAAATTTGATGATGATCTTTAGATATTAACAGTTAACCCAAAAGCATCATTCTATTATTAATTTCTTGGGATTTCCATCCAGTTAAGCCAACATGTTTACAGGCAAAAGCTCAAAATTGATTGGCTACTTTATTCTTTTAGAGGCGAACAAACTCAAAAACATTATGAATCTTCAACGGTTATGAAATGTGTTTGCAAAGTCTGTCTGTAGCTATGCCCATCCATGTCTCTGATTTATGAGGATGGCTTTGATGCATGTTGATCGTACATTGTTGGCCTTAGGAAGGAACACGCCGTGTCTCTTCCTGAAGACGAAGAAGATGAAGGATGATGATGGAGGGGGGATTTATACACTCAGTTTAAGGAGTTTTGCCATTTAACACTCATTTCATGTTTGTTTACAGTGACTTATATTCATCCATATATCAATACACAACCTCCTTGATTTTATAGCCAACCCAAATGTATTCAGATGTACACAGTGAAAGTGATGAGCAGTGCTTCTCTTTGACTTCATAAGGACATAAAGGAAGGAAGCTACTTGTTTATGAGACAGCCCAATTTGCCACCTCAGTCAGAAGCAAACATAAAAACAGAGCATGCTCCCTGGTTTTATTTGTGCAGTTAATCAAGTGGGTTGCTCTTCTATCAGTTTTAGAGTCACATGTTGCCCTGTGTGTTAGATTTGGTATCTCTTCCTCTGTTTACTTGTATAATCCCCTTCCTTGCTATCTAATTAGAGTGTCAGCTATGCACCATGAACACTGTCAAAGTCTTTGCTTAGCCCCTCTATTTGCATATGTTTTAAGCATAAGGACGCTGGAGGAAGCTTATTTAAGGTGCTTCCACTTTGACAACTTTCCACTTGATTAAATCAAACAGAGAATTTAAACAAGCGGCCCAGCCCTTCCTCACAGTATCAACAATACGTAAGGCGACATTTCAAATTAGAGCCACAGTCAGGGAGTGAACCGTCGCCGGAGCACAATCTGAAAATGTTCACTTTTTGTATTTTGTAACATTTCAAAGAAAACCATGATCTGTCATTGAAAAGCATTCATGTGATGTGAAACACTGCCGCTAATCTTCGCAAAGATTCAGCACAGTGAGCGAACAGACTGAAACAGCAGTCTTAACACCACAGGCGAGAGCTGTCCAGACTGTAAATTAGTGGTACTTGTTTGAGTACCAACTTGTTATGTGAAGCACTCGGAGAGATCACAAAGAGGTGGATGTGTTAAGAGTGGTGCGCATTAACTAAAGTGATATAATTGTGACGTCCTGTTGTATGCGAGTGAGCAGTATTTCTAGAACTCTTGAAAATGGTCACTGGAAGCATAAACAGAAACTATCTTTACCATGCGGTGTGGAGCCCAGAGCTGGAATAGAATTTAAAATGTCAAAATATAAATGACATGCAACATGAGGTGTGTAAATAAATATAACATATATCATAAGCCATTGACTTGATTTTATGTGAAAGTAACTAATTGAGACAATATTTCT